GACATTGAGACTGGGCAGCAGAAGACTGTATTTGTGGGACACACGGGTGACTGCATGAGCCTGGCTGTGTCTCCTGACTTCAATCTCTTCATTTCGGGGGCCTGTGATGCCAGCGCCAAGCTCTGGGATGTGCGAGAGGGGACCTGCCGTCAGACTTTCATTGGCCACGAGTCGGACATCAACGCCATCTGTGTGAGTGCACCCCCCGCCCCCGCTTGACTCCAACTCCTTCCCCCGCACTCCCCACAACACATACAATACACATCCTCTGCCCCTCCCGTAGCTTCCCTAGCCCTTTCTTTCTTTTTTTTTTTTTTTTGAGACAGAGTCTCACTCTGTCACCCAGGCTAGAGTGCAGTGGCGCAATCTCGACTCACTGCAACCTCTGCCTCCTGGATTGGAGCCATTCTGCTGCCTCAGCCTCCTGAGTAGCTGGGATTATACGTGTGCGCCACCATACCTGGCTAATTTTTGTATTTTTAGTAGAGATGGGGTTTTGCCATGTTGGCCAGGCTGGTCTTGAACTCTTGACCTGAGGCGATCTTCCCACCTCAGCTTCCCAGAGTGCAGTGCTGGGATTACAGGTGTGAGCCACCGTGCCCAGCCTTCCCTAGCCCTTTCTTTCTTTCTTTTTTTGGGGACAGAGTCTCACACTGTTGCCCAGTCTGGATGCAGTGGTGCGATCATGGCTCACTGCAGCCTCAACCTCCAAGGTTCAAGCAATCCTCCCACCACAGCCTCCTGAGTAGCTGGGACTACAGGTGCGTGCGACCACGCTTGGCTAATGTTTTGATTTTTTTGTAGAGATGGGTTCCCACTGTTGCCCAGGCTGAGCTGGAACTTCTGAGCTCAAGCGATCCTCCTGCCTCAGTCTCCCAAAATATTGGGATTACAGGCATGAGCCACCACGCCCAGTCCATTTTGTCACGTTTGCTTTATCATTTTCTCTCTGTAGAGAAATAGCCATAGATACACACACACATACACACTTAGATGTAGATACACATTTTCTTTCTGTGTCTTTTAAAAGTAGTTTGCAGACATCATGTTTCCTTACCCCTTAAGTACTTCCTAAAACAAAGCCGTTCTGTAACATAATCACAGTATGATTCTTAAAATCAGAAAATTTAACATTGACACAATACTATAGTCTACAGTCTATATTCAAATTTCACCAACTGCCTCAAAAATGTCCATAATAGCTATGGTTTTTTTCTGTCCAGGATCCAATCTAGAAACATGCATGACATTTCCTTGCCATATCTTTTTCGTCACCACCTTTAAACTGGAACTGTTTTCCCACCTTTAATTGTCTTTTATGTCATTGACATTTTTGAAGAGTACAAACCAGTTTTCAATAGACTCTCCCTCCGTTTGAGTTTATCTGACATTTCCTCGCAATGAGATTCAGGCCTTGCATTTGTACTTGACCCTGTTCTTGCACACCCTGATCCAGCCCACTTGTGTAGTCTGAGTTTGGGACAACCTCCGTCTGCCCTTCTAGCCAGGTCACTGCAGGCAAGCCTTGGTGCTCTTGCCTGTGACATGGAAATGATGCCTGCCTGCAGCGCTGTATGGTGCAGAGCGGGCGAGGGGCATAGGGAAGTCAGTGGCACGTGCTACGTGTTGGCAGGGCTGCTTCTCATCCAAAACCAAGGAAGGGACAGGCAGAGAGGCTGAGAGCAGCGGCTTGCCCTGGAGCTGTCAGGTGGGAGCCAGAGGCCGGGGGAGGCTGTGGGCTGCCCAGGTCTGATCCCTGACCCACTTGCCACCCATGCCCTCAGTTCTTCCCCAATGGAGAGGCCATCTGTACGGGCTCGGATGATGCTTCCTGCCGCTTGTTTGACCTGCGGGCGGACCAGGAGCTGATCTGCTTCTCCCATGAGAGCATCATCTGCGGCATCACGTCCGTGGCCTTCTCCCTCAGTGGCCGCCTGCTGTTCGCTGGCTACGACGACTTCAACTGCAATGTCTGGGACTCCATGAAGTCCGAGCGTGTGGGTAAGGGCCAGCCCTGGCTGCGGCTTCCTCAGCTGGAAGGCCCCTCTCCAGCCCTCCCTCCTCATTCTGTACCCCCATCAGCTCCCATTTTGGACTCTCTTACTGCTGTCCTGGGTGACTCCACTCCTGGAATCCAGTACCCCTTGGCTCCCAACTAGGACTGTCTTCCCTCAGTTGCTCTAAGCAACCTCTCTCCCCTGCCCAATGCTATGGCTGCTCCCTGCCCTAGATCTGTGGACCATGACTGTCCAGTCAGTTCTGGGTTCCTGGCATTTCAGGGGCACCCACTGAGAGGCAAGACAGCCTCAGGGAAATATGGAATCAAGGCAGAATCAAGGAGATCTGGAGTGGCCCGAGGGCCCTGACTCCTGCCTAGGGCTCATCTAAGACTAGCCTGAAGTTGGTCAGACAGGATGGCTTCTTCTCTATCAAGAGGCCAGGTGCTGACGAAAGTAACACTGGCCAGGTGCAGAATCCAAATCCTAATTCTGTTGCTCACTCTGAGTGACCTTGCACAAGTCACTCCTCCATGGGCCTCAGTTTCTTCATCTGGAAACAAAGAAATCAGATGAACGGCTGCCTTCTGCTTTCCAGCACCTGTCAAGGTGCCCTCGGTTTTTTTCAGAGTACACAGATGCTTCCAGCTTTTCTCTGTCTGATCCCAGCCCTCCCCCAACCAAAGCTCTTGAGAGAGAACCCCCTGCCCTACGGCTAATCCTCTTTCAGTCTCTCAGCCTTCTTCAGGGGTTGAGCCTAGCCTACCCAGTCTAGGATCCCTGCATGCATGTGCTCAGGCACGCATGCACAAACACACGTACACACACCCACACGTGCACACACACGCACGCATGCACACGTACCCGACACACATGCACACACTTGCACACATGCACACACTGCTTTCCAAATCAGCTCGGAGACAGGCTGACTCCTTTCCCTCTTGCTCAGGCATCCTCTCTGGCCACGACAACAGGGTCAGCTGCCTGGGAGTCACAGCTGATGGGATGGCTGTGGCCACAGGTTCCTGGGACAGCTTCCTCAAAATCTGGAACTGAGGAGGCTAGAGAAAGGGAAGCGGAAGGCAGTGAAGACGCTCAGCGGCCCCTCCCCGACCCCATCTCATTCAGGTGTTCTCTTCTATATTCCAGGTGCCATTCCCACTAAGCTTTCTCCTTTGAGGGCAGTGGGGAGCATGGGGACTCTGCCTTTGGGAGGAAGCATCAGGGACACAGGGGCAAAGAACTGCCCCATCTCCTCCCATGGCCTTCCCTCCCCACAGTCCTCACAGCCTCTCCCTTAATGAGCAAGGACAACCAGCCCCTCCCCAGCCCTTTGCAGGCCCAGCAGACTTCAGTCTGAGGCCCCAGGCCCTAGGATTCCTCCCCCGGAGCCATGACCTTTGTCCAGACCTGGGTGGTATAGGCATTTGGCCCTGTGACTATGGCTCTGGCACCACTAGAGTCCTGGTCCTCTTCTTATTTATGCTTTCTCCTTTTTCTACCTTTTTTTCTCTCCTAAGACAACTGCAATAAAGTGTAGCACCCTGGTACATCTGTGATGTTTGCCTTCCACTCCCTTCTGTTCCCAAAAGACCCAGGCCCCATTTAAGGGCAGTAATGTGTTACAGGTGCTGTGATAAAGGCTAGGTACTGGACAGCTTGTGGGCTCATGGCAGGAGGCCTGAGATGGGTCAGGGGGAGAAGGTATTCAGCAGGTGGCTGGGGGACTGTGTGTGCAGCAGTTTGCTATGGCCTGCCTGTGGTGCCCATGTGTTTGTACGGGAGGGTTAGATTGAGAAGGAATCAGATTATAAAAGGTCTTGAATGCCAAGCCAGAGACTCCAGACGTTTTCCTAAGGGCAATGGGAAGCCATTAAGGAGTTCTGAGCAGAGTAGTAACACGTTCAGTTATGCTTCTCAGAAAGATTGCTCCAGATCTTTTGGAAAGAAGCAGTGTAGGTTGATGAAAGGGAGGGAGGAAAGACTGGCACTAGGGAAACAAGATAGGAGGCAGGTGGCAAGAAATGCAAGAGCGACAGGACAGAGGGGTTAGGGAGAGGGATTAGGAAGAGATTAAAGACGTGGAATCAGCTGGAACAGTGGCTCATGCCTGTAATCCCAGAGCCTTGGAAGGCTGGCAGGAGGATCTCCTGAGGCCCGGAATTTGAGACCAGCCTGAGCACCATAGTGTGATCCTGTACCTACAGAAAAAATTAAAAATTACCTGGGCAGGCTGGGCATGGTGGCTCATGCCTGTCATCCCAGCACTTCAGGAGGCTGAGGCAGGCAGATCACTTGAGCCTAGGAGCTTGAAACCAGCCTGGGCAATATGGCAAGACCTCATCTCTATAAAAAAAAAAATACAAAAATTAGCCAGGCCTGGTGGCTCATGCCTGTAATCCCAGCTACTCGAGAGACTGAGACAGGAGGATCACTTGAGCTCAGGAGGTTGAGGCTGCAGTGAGCTGTGATTGTGCCACTGCACTCCAGCCTGGGTGACAGAGCAAGACCCTGCCTCTAAGAAAACAAGCAAACAAACAAAATGTGGAATCACCAGGATTTAGTGACCAAATGCTAGGATAGAGGATATTGGGAGGGAAGGATTTGAGATAATGGCCAAGGTTTGAGTTTGGTGGCTGGGTAGATAATGCTGTCATTCACAAGGATAGGGAAGAGGGCATGAGGAATAGCTTTTGGGGGAAGATCATGAATTCAGTTTTAGACAAACTGACTTTGAAGTATTTATAGGGCAGCTGGATAAAGGTCAGGGTTAGAGAGAGAGACCTGGAAGTTACCAGAATATAGGGAAGTGATAGCTAAAGCCCTAGAAGTAAACACCTAGGGAGAGCAGGAGGAAAGGGCCAAGGACAGAGCCATGGGGACACCATGGTTTAAGGGAGATGTGCAAAGGAAGCTCAGAGCATCAGTGGGCTCAGGCCAGGGAACACAAGGTCTCTAGGCTGCCATTCTACACACAGAAAACTCGGTGCAAGGTTTACATATACCTTTTTAAAGTAACATTTAAAATCACTTCCTTTAATATAAAAGAAACACACAAGACACAAAGAAAGCCCAATAAAGCTCTGAGTCCCAGTTGGGTAGTTGAGGAGGAGTCTAAGAAAACAAGCCTTTCCTCAGTATCCCTGGGAAAGAAGGGGTGAGAGGACACAGATACCACCAGGCCCTGGGTGATTGCATTGCTGGGGCCATGCAAGGCCTAGCTCTCCACCAAGGGAAAGTGCTGATTTTCCTTGTCATGGTCCTGGCCTTGTTCCCATGTTCGTCCTCCAGTTTTCAGAGGTCGTCCAGTTCCAAGAATGGCTCCTTCCTTTAGTTCACTAACATTTTCACTTAGGGGTGAAGGCCGCTTACCCTGAAAATGGCAGTATATGAGTTGGGGGGTTGCTGTTCAGGAGAGGGAAGATCTGGGTAAAAGGGTCTCCCACCCTCTACGTTGGATATCCTAGTAACAGCTTTCACCTTCTCTTCCTTTACCTGTCGTAGTGTCAGGGTGCCAGGGGAGTTGTCATCCTGCAGGATGGTGAGGGGGGATCTCCCTAGTACCTTGCTGCTGTTTGGTTTCCATCTATTGCGCATAGAACCTGGGGTGGGTAAGGAGTTAACGCAAGGACCTAAAACTAGGACTCACAGTTTATTCCTCCCACACTCACCCATGGACCTTATCCCAAAACATTATCCTAGCTTATCTTCCCTACATCTTGCCTTTAGATTCTGTACCTGAAGATCTGGGAGTCTCAGGGTCCCTTGAGGGCTTGTCAGAGCTCTGGCTGGCCACAGGGGTTTCTGTGGGCTGTCTTGCTTCCTCCTTGGAAAACACCTGTTTGGAGGGGAACTCAGTCTGGTTCCAAGGTGGCATCTGTTCCTCAGCAGATAACTGGGTACCCAGAGGCAAGTCCAATTCAGAAGATAAAGGTGCCTCCGGGGGCAGAACAGGCTCTGGGGGAAGATTTGATTTAGAGTCTTCAGTTTCAAATACTTCACTCAGCTGTTTCACCAGTGGGCTTGGGGGGTCTAGAGGAAGAAAGTGAAGTGAACAGTGACCTTCTGATATGCAACATTCAGCAAGGAGCAAAAGATACAGGAACCTTAGGACTCATGCCCAGGTGAGTGAGCAAGTGGGAAGAGAGAAATCAAGGAAATCAAGGTGAAAGGGAGCAATTTTTCTTTTCTTTTTTTTTGAGATGGGGCTTGCTCTGTCCCCCAGGCTGGAGTGCGGTGGCATGATCACAGTTCACTGCAGCCTTGACCTCGTGGGCTCAAGAAATCCTCCCACCTCGGCCTTCTGAGTAGCTGGGATCACAGGCCCATGCCACCGTGCTTTTGTGTGTGTGTGTGTGTGTGTGTGTGCATTTTTTGTAGAGATGGGGTTTTGCCATGTTGCCTAGGCTGGCCTTGAACTCCTGGGCTCAAGCGATCTGACCACCCTGGCCTTCCAAAGTGCTGGGATTACAGGCATAAGCCACCGTACCCAGGCTGGGAACAAAACATTGAGATAAGAGTGAGATGGGTCTGAAGCAGGAGGATGGAGGACCCTTTAAAGATCCCTGAGAGAATGGCTTCATGGACCCTACCCAAGAATAATAGATGACAGTTTCATCAGCATTCCCTGGGCCCAACACTTACCTCCACTGCTGGTCTTCATAGGTGTCCGAGCAATACCAAGAGTAGGAGAGCGAGGATCTGAGTCCTGGGCATGTTTAAGACCCTCCAGTTGCTCCCCTGCTGGTAGGCCTGGCTGTGGAGAGCTCTCCACCTGTCAAGACCATAGGCTAGAACAAGTCTGGGCCCTGACTCTTCTCTCTTCTCCTCCCCATATTTCAGGAAGGAATTGCCAAGGCCCTCAGATATCCAGTCTACCCCACACAGATTGAGAATGCAGAAAATAAGGCCAGGATAAGGGTGGGGACATGAGGGCTCTCTCAAAATCAGGTTAGGAAGAGGCCCAAGAATTCAGACATTCTCTGCCTTTCCCACTCTGGCCCAGAGTACCTGGATGGGAGTGCGCAGGATGCCAGCACTAGGTGAACGGGGGTCCGCCACTCGAGCCAGATGCTTGTTGTGCGGCGGAGGCCGCGCTGGTGTGACTGGGACGCTCTTGGCTGAGCCCATCTCAACCAGGAGTTGCAGGGTAGGGGCAAGGGCCAGCCCGGGAAGAGGAAGGAATGCCTGTGAGAAGTGACTGAGGTCTCAGCCCTTATCCCTTCCACGTCGGACCCTCAACCCTAAACCACCCTATCTTCCCAGTTTCCAGCGAAGAAACTTCCTGGCGGGGGACCAGAGGCCTCTGCGGAGTTAATGACCGCTGCAGCTGACAAAATGGCTCATTCTGGGCCTGCCGAGCCCGCTAACTTGTTTATTAAATTATTCAAATCACTTACCGGGCTCCAATTCCACCTCTGGGTGCACAACAGCTCGTGGCGCAACTCCCGAAGTTACCAGTTTCAAACTTCCCGCCACGCCCCCTGCCCTGACCCTATTGGCTGAGCCGACGTAGATCCATAGGCCCTCCACGTAAGACCCGCCTCGAGCCAAAGGAAGCTGTTGGTCTGGGAGAACGTCTATCATGGTGACTGTAGGGGGTCAATGGACTGATGCTAGGCTTGCCCAGAGGTGACGCCTCCTTGATAAGAGTACTTCTGTTCAGTATCGGCCTGCGAGCAGTCCGTGGTAGACTGAGGAGTGCCAGTCTTCGCTTTCGAGACGTCTAGTCTCAAGAACGAATTATTTTATTAAACAAAATAGAATTATGAGTGATTACACTATTATGCGCACATCCAGCTGGAGTCGTGGTTTTCCTGAGGCGAGCGATAGTAGCCTTATTGGTTGACAGCTTTATCAATCACTCGACACCACCCCCCTCAAGCTCCGCCTCACTGGATACCCCCTTTTCAAATACCAAGACAACTGCCCCTCGACTTTCCGACGGGACAGGTCCCCAGGAAACTTTCTGGAAGTGAGAGACTTAAAACAACCGTCAGTTCCTGCTCTTCAATAGAAGGCACGCGAAGAGACCCTAAAGGTCCCGGAGCCGGAGGAGCTGCAACTTCGGAGCCCACCCAGCTGCTCTACGTGCGCTCCCGCCCTGGAGGAGTGGGATTGGTTCTTTCAACCATCAATTGCCTTAGGAGCGCTTCTCATTGGCGTCGGTCAAGCGCGGGGCAGGGGCGGAGCACCGGCAGGCAGGCTGTGTCCAACTGCCATTCTCGCGCGTCGTCCCCGCGGCGCATGCCCCTAACGAGTGGCGCTCATTGGACGGGAGGGACAGGGGAGGAGACTAGGAACGGTGGGAGCGGCGGTGTGTGGAGAAGCCGCTGCCGGTGTCATGGCGGAGCTGAGTGAGGAGGCGCTGCTGTCAGTATTACCGACGATCCGGGTCCCTAAGGCTGGAGACCGGGTCCACAAAGACGAGTGCGCCTTCTCCTTCGACACGCCGGTAAGCCCATTCCCCACGCCCGCAACGAGCACGACTGCCTTCCATCGCCCTGGTCATTCCGCCGGGGCCTGCAAGGCTTGGGCTACCGCCTCCCTGCGATGCACCATGGGACTTGTAGTCTCCCACGCTCCACTCTGCCGTTGCCTTTCATTAACTGCGGCTGTCTTGTGACTACTGCCCCCGGAAGCCGCCGCGCTCACCTCGTCAGCTCCCCGCCTCGTGGAGCACTGTGGGCATTGTAGTCGTTCACTGCCCTCGTTGTCATTCTAAGCTAGGGGTGCAGCCAGACCGTCGGACTACATCCCCCAAGTGGACCCTTGAGAAAACCTGGCAGTCGGCCTTGTCTGCCGCGCACGGCTCTCCGGGTTTTGTAGTCTCGTGTGGGAGTGATGGGGGCGACTCCCCACTGTTCTCGGCCGGGGTTGGAGTTGTGGGGTGGGGTCCGCAGTTCCTAGGCGGTTAATAGTCGGGGAATAGGCTCTCAAGAAGTCCGGTTCTGAGAAAGGAAGAGCTAGAGAGCCTTCACCCTGTGGTTAAAACGGACAGGGGGCGGGGAGGGGAGGAAAGCTCTAGTCGTTTCTCCTTTGAAGTGAGCAATGGCCGCAACCCCCACCCTTCCCCCGCCCCCCAGCCTATCACAGACAGCTGAGATAACCCCTTTTAAAGTATTCCTAGAGTGGTGGTTTCTTTCTTGGAGGATGCTGAGACCTCTTTCCCATCCCGCTCCCACTCTTGGCTAGTTACACAAAGCCACCTCCCACACCATGCTTCACGTTTTGCAGGCTCCACCTGGTACCTCCCTTCCTGCAGTTCTGCCTTCCTGTGTCACCCTCAAGCGGAGGCCCTTTGGGGCCTGAACTGAGAAGGCAGCAGCTTGGTTGGGATCCGCCCCCCTCACCACCCCTCCCCTCAAGCTGCTGGGCCCTGCCCAGGGTATTCTGCCAGACCAGCTCATGGCCTGAAAACTGCAAGTCAGAGTGGAAAGCCTTCATTACTGCATCACCAGTACTGAGTAGAATGGCATGATGTGAGGCCCAGTTCAGGATCATCACTGTGATTTGTGGTTTGCTTGCTTTACTAGGCTTTGATCTGGGCCTCAGACAATGTGCTGCTTCTCTGAAGTCTGGCTTTGGCAGAGGTAAAAGAGGACTGCGCAGAGCAGAGCTCCAGGGTTCCCAATCCTTGGTGAAATCAACATCTTTAATTTCCAACAGAGGAGTTTAATCACTTCAGAGCTCCCACATTCTTCCCAGGAGGAAATGTTTTTTTAAATTACCAGCAGATGGTAGAAGTCAGTGGGCCCCTCTTTACACTGACATTCACTCCTGTCTCTCTCCTTAGTAACGGCTTTGAATAATCCAAAAAGGGTTTTTGTAATCTTCTGACACTTTGCCTCTTTCACCCCAAGTCAAGAGATTTTCAATGTGCCCTAGTTCTTTGCTAACCAACTGCCAGCATATTTGGTTACCTTCAGATTGGGTTCATGGTAGAAAGAGCTTAGTTGACCTCCCTGGTGAGAAATGCTCTATTTGTTCATGAACTTGCAGTACACACTGTTCTAGGAGGTGGTACAGAGCAATCTATGGGCCCGAGACCTACCTTAGTGCACTACTTTTCATATCACAGCAGAGAAATGTTCAGGGCCACTGAGACTTTTATTCCTGGAAGAGGATGCCTGTTGTTGCTCAAAGCCTTGGATCTGAGGGAAGACCCTTACTTTCTCCAATTTCCTCCTCCACCTTCTCCATCACTCTTTACAAAGGCACTGGAGAACTTGGTCAGCTTTGGGGGAAGCCCATCTCCTTCTCAGCTGTGTTTCTGGGTGGACACCCATTTGTCCCTGTTTTCATGGTTACGTGCGTTCTAGCTACCTCAGCAAGTGTTGCGAGATTGTTGTCAGAAGGGGATGGCTTTGAGATTGGTGATTGTTGGGACTTCAGCAGGGATCTTAGTGGTCAGAGGGGAGGCAGAGGAGAGAGGGTGGTGGCTATAGAATGCTGGACTTGATGACCCTGCCAGACGGGGTGCAGGTTTAGCTGTGAGTCCCTAACAAGTCATTGTTTCCCTGGAGCCACACTTCAGCAGGAGAGGAGGGAGAAGACTCACAGTGTGGACCAGGGTTTGACTACCTGGTAGAGTGTGGTAAAGGAAAGGTGTTTTTGGCTGGATGTTTAGTCTTGCCTTTGTAATCCCAGCACTCTGGGAAGCCAAGGTGGAAGGATTGTTCAAGGCCACAAGTTAAAGACCAGCCTAAGCAACATAGTGAGACTCCATCTCTAAAAAAAGAAAAAAATCTAGGCATGGTGATGTGTGCCTGTAGTCACAGCTCCTTTGGAGACTGAAGCAGAAGGATCACTTGAGCCTAGGAGGTTGAGGCTACAATGACCTATGATCGTGCTACTGCACTCCAGCCTGGGTGACAGAGTAAGACCCCGTCTCTAAAATAAATGTTTTTGTTTTTTTAAAGGAAAGGTAGTTTTGCTTGCGGCACACTCGGATCAGATATACTGTGCAGGTGCTGGAATCTCGGCTCCTCCGGTCTGGAAGGTTTTCTGAATCATGGAGATCAGATAGGGTTTGTCTTAGGTGTCCCTGGTTTGGGTTCAGTGTCTGACATGAAAGTCCTTCCTCTCCCACGGAGGGACCCTTTTCCCCTTGAATGTCATCTGCAACACCGGAAGGCCACAATATTTGATCGCCATTGACTTTCTGGATCTGTTAGCACCAGGAAGGAAGTGAAGGATTGATTGAAGATTGTGATTGATTGAAGAGCTCCAAAGCCCAAGAAGGAGCAGGTGGAAAGATAAATGGAGGCTGGGGTTGAATGGCGAAGATGAGCTGGTGTTCCTCAGCCCCCTGATGCCCTTGTTGGTTGTTATCAAAGTCATGGGAGGAAATGGGGAGAATCTTAGCTATGTCCCAGGTCCTAAAAGGCTAAGTAGCTTGCAGGGGCCCCACAGTGTTAGCGGACGGAGCATCTCTCTGGAACCAGCCGTTCTGACTCCGGGTTTTGGTCTCCTCTCCTGACCAGGCTCATAACCTCCTCGTGTTTTCACCCTTACCTCTTGTCCTGCAGGAGTCTGAGGGGGGCCTCTACATCTGTATGAACACATTTCTGGGCTTCGGGAAACAGTATGTGGAGAGACATTTCAATAAGACTGGCCAGCGAGTCTACCTGCACCTCCGGCGGACCCGGCGTCTGGTAGGGACAGGGCTGGGGCAAGGCCTGGGTACATTCTGTTCCATTCTGTCTGTATTCTGACCTACTATTGGACTCAGTTTCTTTTTTTCACCTACTTTTGTGTCATTAAAGCTTGGCACAGATGTTTTTTAGCTTTATTCTGAGATGAACCACTACCTCCTCCCGTCTCTCCTCCCCACTTGTTCCTTCGCTCATGCTCATTGCTGATCCAGCCCTTCCTGCTTCTTTGCAGAAAGAGGAGGACCCTGCTACAGGCACTGGAGACCCACCCCGGAAGAAGCCCACGCGGCTGGCTATTGGTGAGCACCACTGCACTTCTATTCTTCTGCCTGAGCTGGTCTTTCTGGCTCTCAGCAGCACCAGGAAAGCCCCAAAGAGTGGGCCTGATTGATGGCCCTAGAACTCTGGGTGGGGCAAGTGAGCTGCTGGATCGGAGGAGGGACACTGACCTGTTGTCATTGCTCTACTCTCCCTCTTTTTCCCTGTCCTTCCAGGTGTTGAAGGCGGGTTTGACCTTAGCGAGGAGAAGTTTGAATTAGACGAGGATGTGAAGATTGTCATTTTGCCAGATTACCTGGAGATTGCCCGGGATGGACTGGGGGGACTGCCTGACATTGTCAGAGATCGGGTATGACTCCCTCCCACGCTCCCCAAGATTCTAGAGCAAGATGGGCCGGGGTAGTGATGTCTGAGGCAAGCACTGACAAAGCTGAAGGCCAAGGGGAAGAGGGGCATGTGGGGCAGGGGGTTGGGTACTGCCTCTGACCCTCTGCTTCCCCCAGGTGACCAGTGCAGTGGAGGCCCTACTGTCAGCTGACTCAGCCTCCCGCAAGCAGGAGGTGCAGGCATGGGATGGGGAAGTACGGCAGGTGTCTAAGCATGCCTTCAGCCTCAAGCAGTTGGACAACCCTGCTCGAATCCCTCCCTGGTGAGGCCTGGCCCCTCTGCCTCGGGCATCACCCCCAGAGCAAGGACATGGAGACCACTTATCTGGGGGATCTGGTGGGAGAGAGGGTCGGAAGCAGGACAGGAAGGGAAACTTGGAAATGAACAAGACATGGGGATGGCCAGAGGAGAGGAGAGAGAGACCTTGGATTGGCAGGGGGCCTGCAGAGCCCCCTCTCTCTGCCACTCCCACAAATCCCCGACGCACATTTCCGCTGATTCTCTTCTCCCTGGGTTAGTGGCTGGAAGTGCTCTAAGTGTGACATGAGAGAGAACCTGTGGCTCAACCTGACGGATGGCTCCATCCTCTGTGGGCGACGCTACTTCGACGGCAGTGGGGGCAACAACCATGCTGTGGAGCACTATCGGGAGACGGGCTACCCATTAGCTGTCAAGCTGGGCACCATCACCCCTGATGGAGCTGGTACAGCCTCCCCTCCTCCAGCCACTCTCATGCTTAAATGTATTTCATTTGTTAGTAATTTCGTGTGACATGTATAATACATGAATGCATTATCTTGATAAGAAAGGAAAATAGGTGCAGTGGCTCACGTTTGCAATCCCAACACTTTGGGAGGCCAAGGCAGGAGGATCACTTGAACCCAGGAGTTCGAGACCAGCCTG